GAAATATATATATTCAAATAGGCTAATAAAGCAAATACAACCTCATTCCGAAGGCTTTACACTACACTAAATAAAATTTACAATATGGTGTCCTTAAATACAAAGTTCAGCCGAAGGCATGGTAACTAAACTTGTTAATATTCATAAGTATAAAATAAATTCCTAATAAATTAGCACACATGCATTATTATTTATAATACATATTTTGACCTTACAAATTTACACTCAGTCTGTGATGTTGATTCAATATTGATATTGAAGTATTTTATTTGTTTATTTATTAATAAATACGTATTTTGTCATTTTCACAGTACAAAGTTAAATTCAGTCTCCAGGTTTTGTTCTTGGGAATATCGATGTGAAATTGATGACCAGTGGCGGTCAAGGAGCGTGGAGAGAAGGTTCAGTTAGAAGAAACAAACGTTTAGAAAATCGTACTAAAGAAGGTGACGAGGTTTCGCTAATCATAGATTTTGATGCAGCCAAACTGTCGCTACATTTGAGCACTAGACCGGGAGCCCAGAGGGTCGAGCCTAGCTGGAAAGCAAACCAATTTTAATGCACATAGTGATGTTCTACATGCGTACGACTATACGAAAATGAACGTCTGCCGGGGATAGGATGGTGGGCGTGGTTAGGATGGGCACGTGAAAGATGCGAGAAAATCAGCTAGATCAGCTGTGAGATAACCAAATAAAATATTTGCCAAAATGTTCAGCATAACTCTTGTAGTTACTAATGTCCACTGCCAGACATATTGGGTGGTGGGTTGGCCCCGCCAGACAGCCTCGAAAGCCCACTCCCGAAATTTTTCTAGATCAGCTGTGAGATAACCAAATAAAATATTTTGCATGATGTTCGGTATAACTCTATTAGTTCCAAATTGCCACTGCCAGACATTTCGAGTGGTGGATTGACCACGCCAGACAGCCTCGAATTCCCTCACCTCTAGAAAATTGTTCATGATCATCTATTTCTAGATAATCAGCAAATTATATACTTGGAAATATATATATATATATATAATAGTTACCAAAGACTATTGTCAGACATTTCTGGTGGTGAATTGTTTTTAACCCAAAAATTTGAATATAACTCATCACAGTTAATAGAAATGAACTTATTTAAGCCTAGACTGTACACAATCGGCCTGAAAAGCAACAGTACAAAATATTTGCAGTCCATTTCTGTCCGACATTACCAATTGTAATCTACACTGCGTCCAAGAATTATATGCAAAATAGTTTTTCCGCTACATTTCATTTGGTTTTTAAAAGAGGATTATGAAGTTTCGTATATATTATGAAAACACTGTAACATGCCCACAACTGAAGCTTTTGGCTGATCTGAGCAGTGGTAAACAAACAGCGGCCATTTATGCTTTAAATGGAGATCTTGGGCGTCCATTTTTATATGCAAGATAGGCCGCGGAGTTGAAAAGACCAAAATTATTCAAGCACTACAGCAGAAGCAACCCACCCTTCAAATCGCCAAAATGCTTCAACGCGACCATCGTAAAATCAAAAAATATGCTACAAATCCACAATCCTGCAATGGAAGAGCAGACAAGGGGAAGATTCAGGAAAAGTCAGGTTTGTCTCGTCGGGGAGTCAGTTCACTTAAACGCGAAGTCCACCGTAATCCTTTACAGACCTCCAAGCAGGTCTTCGAAGCAGTTGGTATGTGTAACGCTTCTTAAAGCAGCCGATGTTCCATTCTAAAGCGTAATGCAAAATGTAAGACACCCTTGGTGCGACCTCTTTTAAGGAAAGTTCATTGAGAAAAGACTTGAGTGGACGAAAAAATATGTGAAACAGAACTTTCAGTTGGTGAAAAAATATGTGAAACAGAACTTTGAGTTGGTGTTATTTACTGACGAGTCCTGAGCAACCCTTGATGGACCCGATGGCTGGAGAAGAGGAGTGATATGAAAGGATTACCTCCAGTGTTTCAGGCATCAAAAAGGCGAGTTATGTTCTGGGCTGCGATCATCAATGATGAACTTGTCGGCCCATTTAGAGTCGAGGATGGGGTTAAAATGACCACCCCGAAATACATAGCTTCCCTAAAGGAGCATTTTTTTCCATGGTATAAGAAGAAAATTTGTCATTTCGGAGGAATATGGTTTTTATGCAGGACAATGCTCCTTCCCATGCTGCACACTTGACAACAGGCTTTCTTAGTAAAGTTCTTGTTAAAAAATGTGAAATTATGCAATGTCCAGCACGCTCTCCGGATCTCAACCCCATTTAGAACTTGTGGAAAAAGAGAGGTATATGCCGGTGGAAGACAGTACTCGTCAACAGAAGATCTTTGGAATGCAATTAAAACTACTGCTAGAGGTATTTCACCTGATGCAACAGGAAACTGATCGCATTGATGGATCGAAGGCTACTTTTAGTCAAATCAAATCATGGATGATACATTAAACATTAATGAATAATATTAATCTTCTATTTTTGGTATATCATTATATAATTTATTATTTATCAAATGTGTGTGAGAATATATTGATTAAAATTACCTAGATAGACGATATTGTCTCATTTTATAAATTTTTCCATTGTATCAATTCGCTAAATAGCAGTATAAGTGTAATATGCATATAAAAATGGATGCCCAAGATCTCCATTTAAAGCATAAATGGCCGCTGTTTGTTTACAACTGCTCAGATCAGCCAAAAGCTTCAGTTGTGGGCATGTTACAGTGTTTTCATAATATATACGAAATTTCATAATCCTCTTTTAAAACCAAATGAAATGTAGCGGAAAAACTATTTTGCATATAATTCTTGGACGCAGTGTAGATTACAATTGGTAATGTCGGACAGAAATGGACTGCAAATATTTTGTACTGTTGCTTTTCAGGCCGATTGTGTACAGTCTAGGCTTAAATAAGTTCATTTCTATTAACTGTGATGAGTTATATTCAAATTTTTGGGTTAAAAACAATTCACCACCAGAAATGTCTGACAATAGTCTTTGGTAACTATTATATATATATATAATTATATAATATATATATATATATATATATATATATTATATTATATATATATATATATATATATATATATATATATTTCCAAGTATATAATTTGCTGATTATCTAGAAATAGATGATCATGAACAATTTTCTAGAGGTGAGGGAATTCGGGCTGTCTGGCCGTGTCAATCCACCACTCGAAATGTCTGGCAGTGGCAATTTGGAACTAATGGAGTTATACCGAACATCATGCAAAATATTTTATTTGGTTATCTCACAGCTGATCTAGAAAAATTTCGGGAGTAGGCCTTCGAGGCTGTCTGGCGGGGCCAACCCACCACCCAATATGTCTGGCAGTGGACATTAGTAACTACAAGAGTTATGCTGAACATTTTGGCAAATATTTTATTTGGTTATCTCACAGCTGATCTAGCTGATTTTCTCGCATCTTTCACGTGCCCATCCTAACCACGCCCACCATCCTATCCCCGGCAGACGTTCATTTTCGTATAGTCGTACGCATGTAGAACATCACTATGTGCATTAAAATTGGTTTGCTTTCCAGCTAGGCTCGACCCTCTGGGCTCCCGGTCTAGTGCTCAAATGTAGCGACAGTTTGGCTGCATCAAAATCTATGATTAGCGAAACCTCGTCACCTTCTTTAGTACGATTTTCTAAACGTTTGTTTCTTCTAACTGAACCTTCTCTCCACGCTCCTTGACCGCCATTAGAACCCAGAGTCCAGCCATATGAACCAGACCATTCAAATGAACAGTCATCAGGTACTTCTTTATTTATTCCTGCTTCAATTATTCCAATGAACATCCAATAAGTGCCTTTAAACGACTCCAACTTCAACTTAAGATTCACAATTCCTTGTTGATAGATATTTTCACCAAGAACATATTTGTGTTCCCGTGTTCCATCATGAACTGCGACTTTCCCGTCTTCCTCAAGAGTGACTCCTGGGCTGTGCAAGTTGAATTTCTCGTCAGGCACAATCTCAGTTAAAAATATTTCATCACTCAAGCCAAGATACTCGACCAAACTGTAGAAATCTTCGAGATTGTCTTCATGGACTTTTAACTTTGGCAGTATTTGAGGATTCTCTGGAGTCGCAATTTTCATCGCTTTTAAATAATCCAAAATATAAGCAAAATATTGTAGATTAAAATCAAAGAATACAGCGTCATCTTGATCACGCTCGACACTATCTTCCCAGCGACCGCTAAACATTGTAGCGAACAAGGAACCTTCAACCTGACAGAAAGTTGATTTTCTGGTTTTAAATTTTTGTCCATCAACATCTAAAATAAAAATCGTCTTTGACTAGATCGGCTGACAGTCGTTTAACTTCCGCGTTTCTTGACTTTCTATTCGCTTTAATAATTTCGCCAAATTTATTATATGTATGTTCCTGCTCATTTTGACTCGTTCTCAACGCAATAGAAATGACTTTCAGAACAAAATCGTTTGCTTGGAAATAAACTTGTAATTATAGAAATGGTTTGTTTGGAAACAAATGTTTTAATTTAAAATGCACAAAATTGTTACATTTAGGGACTACCAACTAAAATTGCACTGTTGTTACAAAACTATTTCATGCTAATATTTGTTATATAACGCTATATTCTGCGTCTTCGACAGTAATATTTAACTGGATGAGCAATTTCGGGCCATCTAAATCATCACGATTAATCACTTTTTCACCTAAAGTTTTGTTAAAGGATCTCACTGACGCGCCAACCATAGAATGGTCAGTTATTTTTTTAATTTGTTTATTAAATTGGTTTAAAACACATATTACTACTTTTGAGACGATCGACTAACATTTTATAAAACTAAAACTAAATATTTATGCATAATATTTCATTAAGACAAGCACAAGTTAAGTATTTGGTCCAATTTCATATTGCAGTCAGTGACCATTAAATTGAAATTCCCCTTGTTCTAAGTTTTGACGAACGAAAATTGTAAGGTTATTTTGCCTAATTCTATACTTTCTTTGTATTTAGTTCGCCAATTTCATCGCTTGTATTTGGTACGAATGCTTTGTTTACAAAACCAGCACAGTCGTTCGCGCCAATGTTGATTGTTGCCATCTTATCAAGCTACGGTTATGACGTAAGCAATGTTTTGGTCATTTCGTCCCATTCCGTCCCCCGTCGGAACACGACGGAACTTCACGAAACTCGTAGTAAATAAAGTTTATGCTATTCTCAAATATTGCCGATGTTTTCAGTATACACTGGATGTAGCAACTACACCTAAAATATTTCTCTAAAATGTGTGATTTTTGTCACATAGGACAAAAGCCACACGATGAAACCAACTACTAGTCCAGGTATGTGTTAGAAAAGATATCGAATCTCATATTCATTTACTGACAGTACTCTTCCACTGATGAGTAAAATCATCTGACATTAGACAGAGTAGAATACTAAAGTAGGTCACATCTGGGTACATTGCAAGCTAATGGGTTAACAAGAGACACTGACAGATAGTTTTGTTAACTTATTAACTGACAGTACTCTTCCACTGATGAGTAAAATGATCTGACATTAGACAGAGTAAAATACTTAAGTAAGTCACATCTGGGTGCATTGCAAGCTAATGGGTTAACAAGAGACACTGACGGATAGTTTTGTATTTCTAAAGGTTCATTATCGTCGTCTGCAGATCTTAAAAGCGTGATGTTCAACGTGATGTGTTTCCTGCCAGCAATCATCGCCATTTTACAAATACTGGTGTGGAATAGTTACACTCTCCGAGGCAGAAGAGACAAAACACCTGAGGACGAAAGGTTTGATCTCCAATAAGAGCAAGTAAGCTTCTATTAAGGTAGCTCAATAGGACAAACTATAGGAAGGTATATATTATGGGAAGGTATATTTTTTCCTCTTAAATGTTTGACAGTGTAGAATTGTCCTTCAATCTAGTTCATTGCACAGAGCCCTGGGGCCGGTTGTTTAAAAGCCGGCTGCTCTTGGTTAAAGCAAATCTTCGCATCATTTTTTTAATCGCTTGTTTACAAAGTTGACGTAAAAATCTTAAAGTAAAAATCTTTTTCTGTAAATATTTTCTCGATTTTCTCTTGATAATTGCATAGAATTTCTCGTGTTGTCTAAAGAGGCTTTTAATTGGCATGCAATCTGTAATGGTCTATTAAACATGCGCACTTTTAGACCCCACGTTAAAAACATGTTGTTGACGACTATTAACAATTAATTTTTCTGGTCGCTAAGAAACCAGTTGGCAAAACCCTTAGCTAAAAATAAAAGATGTTGATTGCACAATTCAGGCACTGACTTCCTTTAACTATCATCATAATTTAACAGTAAATTTTTTATGCATTTTTCTCTAAACCGAGTAAGTTTCTACAGAAGTCGAACTTCTGTGGAAATAAGGGTTTGATGTTAAACTGATATTATCATACAGAAATTATACAAAAACAGTATTTTTAAATTTAACCCTAGTTTAGCGTGGAAGAAGGCTATTTCGTCAATAACTTTACAAAATAACGAGAAATCAATCTTGTATATACATGGTTTGGAGACTAAATAAAAGTACAGTACAACTCATTAACTATGTTACTGCCCAGGTTTATGCAAAAAATGGTTCCTTTCTCTTCACGTGTCTATTGTATTTTAGTCAAACTTACCAATGGCATTCGTCTTGCTAAGCTCCTCAACCTTAACTTGAAAAATATGTTAATTATAAGATTGCTATTGGTTTATCTGTGCAAAATACAATAGAAATGTGATGAGAAAGGAACAATTTTTGCATAAATCTACCTCAACATAATTGAGTTGTATTGTAGTTTTATGTGGTCTCCAAAACATGTATAATCTATTAACTGTGATATTATTCATCACTTATGACACATCTCAACTAAAATATTTTTTAAACATTTGAATAGTTTAATATTCATATTATAATTCTTGAAGTCTCAACTAAATGTTTAAATAAATTAGTTCAACAATTGGATTTGACTTAATGACTTTTATTTCACAAGTTAAACACGACATTTTTACATAACTTTTTTACATTATAAACACTACATATATTCCCAAGTAAAGCGTTTTACATCGTAAATATACTTCAAGTTTTTCTGAGCCAGAATTACAAAATTCCACCGTTACAACTTCAAAAATTAAGTTTTTCCCCATGTGTGATTTTTCAAAAATAGCTGTGTTTATATTTAGGCAAAAAATGATGTCGATTGTGTTGTAATCATAATCATGCATGACAATCATGAAAATGACCAAAAGTCCCACGGGCTCAAGTGCCACAATACGCCATAATTAGTGTAACATAAAGTTCATATCAGACTGTTTTTAGAGAAAAGAAATTTATCTTTCTTTTAACCTTATAACAAGCAGACTCGTTTAAGAGCTTTTGAAATCTTGTTTTTAAGATGCATCCGGCCATTTTTTGATGAAGGAAACTTCGACATGTCCTATGTCCCAAATTTGTGCTTGCTTTTTTGCCCACAGATAGAATAATTACCAATTGCTGGATTTCAAATTTCAAAGAAATGGTTCGCTAGTAAAACTTTTGTATAAAATATATGAGAATAGTCAAGCTGAACTCATTTATTCTGGCAAATTTTAAAACAAAACATGCAAATATTTCGTTTGCGAAATCTTTTTCTGCGATTGGAAATCCGCTTTTAATGAAAAGCAGATAGTTCGTCCTAAAAAACAGTTTAAAATTTAAACAAAGCGCTTGTTTACATTGCAAGTGGATGTCATCCTTAAATTCGAATAATCAGATGAACCATACTTTTGGTTTTGGAGATCCGAGGAATCCTATTTAACCGAAATCCATCGGTAGACATATTTTAAGGGCGTTTCGAAACGTTAATATATCCAATTATAAGCAGTTGTGATTGACTAACGTTAAACCGCGCGCTGACATTTTCTGGAAAAAATATTTTAGAAGGAAGTAGTCTGCAAAATAGTTTCACCTGTAAGCTTGTTTACAAGTTTAGCCTATTCTTTACGATTATACCATGCTGCGAATCAAGATATATTTATCAAGTGACAATCTTGTAGCAACTTTGCAAAACGGCAGCATCGCTACAAGTCTGTTTTTTACACACAAGTTTTTGTCGAATTTTTAACAGCGATAACAGCCCAAGTAGGGAACGTATTGAGGTCAAAATACCATGTTCCAAACGTATACAACCACAGCATCAAGACAGCAACACTTGTGATGTTCATAAACAAGCCTGTTTTAGCCTAAAAAATGCATAATACTGTTATACCTCGCATTCAAATTGTCCAATAGGAGCGCTTGATTTGTGTAACGTGATCATAAAATGTACAACACGCTTACGTCATTCGTATCAGATGAAACAGGAAATGTCAAACTAATCTGTCAATCTCGAAATGTTAAGGTAACAATTTTCAAAGACCCCGTTTACACTAGAACGAAAGTTTCCGGATTTGTAAAATTATCCGGATTCATTGTTACACACATGTATCGGATTCGTCAGGGTGTTTACACTACACTTTAGTTGACTCTGTATGCGGATTTGTCCGTTTACACTCACATTACTTGTTCTTGGAGAATTGTTTGGTCGTCATATTGCATTTCTTCGGATTCGTCGTACAAAGCGTTTACACAATAAAATTTTCCGGATTTAAATGTTTCTGGATACGAAGTTTCCACAAACTTTTACGGATTCAAAGTTTCCGGATACGGCTTAAAACCGAGTACATTTTCTATCGGATTCGTTGCTGCGTGTGTAAACAGCAACATGAATCCGGTACTAAAACATTCCGCTTTCGTGATGAATCCGGAAACTTTCGCTCTAGTGTAAACGGGGTCAAAGAGAATCCTCAATTTTAAGTTACGGGTAATTTTAGAGCGATCGAAAACCACTATCGCTACCAAGCTTTTCTACAACCGCCCCAGGTGAATTATGGGAACTTACCATATCAGCAACTTTGAGATAACCGGAAGCAAAAACGATTGCATTGGGTGGTGTCGCTACTGGAAGCATGAATGCGAAAGAGCAAGCTACGGTTGCTGGTACCATCAAACGCCACGGGTGTATCTCAAGACCTGTCGCCTGTTAATTATAAATGGGTAATTAATGTTTGATAACAAGCAGGAGTTTCGTTTTAAACGGAAGATTGTTTACATTTTCGGGCTAATCCAATCAGAATGCTCCAATTTTTAATACTTCATGTAAAATGGTAAATAATGTACCTCATTTAAAATTTGCACCTTTTCAAATCGTATGCACCAAAGTCATGAAAATCGCACTCAGTTAATATATGGAGATCAATGCCCGTGAATTTAACCCAGAGCTAGCGCTAACCTAACTTTTAAAACTGGCGCCTGCATAGTTAAGATTGGACTCAGGGATTAGCAGTAAATCGGTAGCGTAACCAGCCTGACGATTTGTCCCGCTATGCTAATATTTTGGTGTTCATTGACTGTGAAAACAATAGATTTCTAAAGACATGAATAATTATAATAACTCAAAATTTACATAGCGGGACAAAATCGTCAGGCTGGCTACGCTAGCTGCAGTAATCCGACTTAGATGGTAGAGATTAGATTGCAGACAACCCAATTTTTTTTCATTTGAACAAAATCAAATCACTTACCAGTGTTCCGAGAATTGGCAGGAAAATCGTCGCGGTTGCTGTGTTTGATGTGACCTCTGTAAAAGCGCACAGCATTGATGCCGTAATAAGAACTATAACAAACGTTGGTACACTGTCCAATTTAGCCAGTTGTTGCCCAAGCCAAATCGATAAACCCGAGTCCTGAAATAAATTTGTTTATAATGTAACATTTATAGTACGCGCGTGCTGATTGGTCAAGAAGCGTGTTTCTAAAACTGTATAGAAAGACGGGAATTTTCCCGCCGAACTTGACAAGCGAAGCGATGTAATGAGAATTTGTAATTGAATCGAATTATAATATTTGTACAAAATCTTTTTATTGAGTTGTATTATAAAAGAAATAGAAAACATTTTTTCCTGTGTTTCGATACAGTTATAGAAACACTTGTGAGAGTTTAGGAGAACTCGAAATAACGTGGAAAAACTTGCCCTACGGGATCGTTTTCCCACTGATTATTTCGAGTTCCCCAAACTCCCACGCGTGTTTCTATAACTGTATGGAAACTCAGAAAATGTTTTCTATTTCTTAATTACAATAAGTTCACGAGGAATTTTTGGGGGAAAGATGTGTGAATGATCAATGCTTGTTCTGGGCCAGAACTATTTGAAATGAAGAGCAGCAGAATCATTTTTAAGGCCGTGTTAGAAGATGCAATTTCTCTTCCAAATTGCAATCCAATTCTACTTTAGAGAGATGTAAATTAGTGGAGAGTTTTCGAAATGTATGCATAAGTATATGTATGCATAGAAATAAGTACAAATGTTTCGTAATTGTCAAATTTACATCTCTCAAAAGTTGATTAAGTTCGCAAGTTGCAATAAAAACTGAATTATGTAACATGGCGTTTGGGGTCTAGATTCGCTAGAGGATAGTATCCCACAAACCTTCGCGGCCTTAGCCATAGCAAAACCAGCTCCAAGCAAAAGGACAATATTCCAAGCGAACTTCTCCGATACCGTAGGCCAGTTGAGCAACGTCGATGAACGACCATCGCTCGGCTCTTCTGAGGAAAAAGAAAACAATTAATTCTTAGCTTATAACAAGACACTGGCTTTTTCAGGCGTTAAATCTGGCGACCATGCTACTTTAGTCGTTTCCAAAGCTTCCGAACATAAACTTTAGTTCATATTCGTTTACAAGAAACGATTTAAGATGCCATACCGATCTATATTATGAAAATAATACTAAATTTACTATTAAACTTGACTTAGAAATCTCTCCTTAAATCCAGGTAATACGATGATACAGAATTTCGCGCCAAAACAATATTATGCGACGGCAAATAAAAGTAACAAGAAAGATTTGCGAATTTATCATTGGGTTATGGAAGAGGTTACATGTTCACTATATATTAGGTTTTTGCACACCCAAAGGGGAAAATTTAGCTTCAAAGTTCACGTAAGACGTATAAATCTACAGCTTAGGCTACAGGCGTAAATCTAAAGGCGTTTGTTCATCAAATATATATTCGCCACAAAAGTACACAGTAAATTATAGTTCCACTACAGAAGACGGGTAACTTTTTATCGTTGAAATGAAGATATATAAACTTCTACTCTGGGATATTTTTATCTAAACCTTACTCAAAATATGCCTTTTGATAATGTTTAATGTGTTTTGATATAATTACACATATTTACGTATATTATATTATCTATAAAACGCACTAAACACTCTTACCAAGAATTAAATGTAACGTAAATAAACTTTTTCATGTCACAATTACATATCTGGGGCGGGTTGTATCAAGCCCGTTTAGCTTAAACAGTGGTTAAGTTCAAAATAGAAAGCAAGTCTATCGTTTCATTCAAGAAGCAAACAAAACGTTTTTAACCTTAATACAAAGATACTGTTTACAACTACATATTCAGTGCATAATATTCAAGTTCACTCATTCAAGAGAGATGTAAGAGTGTTATTTTATTTTGACTTATCCACCGTTTAAGCTAAACGGGCTTGATACAACCGGGCCCAGTGCATCAAATATAAGCTAAGCTATTTTTAGTTTCGTTTAAAAACACAACAACATTGTCATATACCTTCGATATCGTATTCATTATCCCTTGAAAATAATCTTGAAAATATTTTCGGTTTCCGAGAGGGGAAATTGAACAGAGAGAACGCGACAATAATACCAACAGTCCCATCGCGCACATATCTGGGTAAAAAAAAATAGACTTTGAATAGATATTTGGGGAAGAACAGTTTAGAACTTATAGAGCGATCCAGTATAAATAAAGTTAGTTCAATTTAGGTTTCCTCCTGTAGTAACACTGGATGAATAAGAGATGATTCTTACTGGACCTCTGGGAAGAACAGTTTAGAACTGATAAAGCTATCCAGTTTAAATAAAGTTAGTTTAGTTTAGGTTTCCTCCTGTAATAACGCTGGATCAATAAGAGATGATCCTAACTGGACCTCTAGGAAGAACAGTTTAGAACTCATAAAGCTATCCAGTATTAGATAAAGTTAGTTTGGGTTTCCTTCTGTAGTAACACTGGATAAATAAGAGATGATCCTTACTGGACCTCTAGGAAGAACAGTTTAAAACTGATAAAGTTATCCAGTATAAATAAAGTTAGTTTAGGTTTCCTCCTGTAATAACACTGGATCAATAAGAGATGATCCTAACTGGAACTCTAGGAAGAACCGTTTAGAACTGATTAATTAATGCAAATAATATTAGTACATGGCTTCTCATAATCATATTCGACCTTACCCATCTTTAAATATGATGGCCCATCCATCGATAAACTTCGGATCTCGGAAGAGCCATAATAATGCCAAGATAATGAAATGGATCAGCACTGTTATCTCTGCAAATCTGCAATGTGCGAATTTCAGTTAAAACTAGAGCTTCGTTACAAAAATGCGTTCAAGATCAAAAGAGGTGGCTTACGAAATTGGTCCTAATTCGTTGTATTGTCGTCTAATAACATTCGTAGCTTTTTCAATTGCTTCACTGTTTTTCCTTTTACCTCGTCTGCAGCGAACGAGGTTGATTAAATCACTCAATCTGTAAACAGAAAAGACTTTGTACAGAATCGATCTTATTATTGTTTATAAATAAAATTAGTTTTACAGAGACAGAGAACAGTTTAGAACTGATAGAGCTATCCAGTATAAATGAAGTTAGTTTAGTTTAGGTTTCCTCCTGTAGTAACACTGGATCAATAAGAGATGATCCTTACTGACCTCTAGGAAGAACAGTTTAGAACTGATAGAGCTATCCAGTATAAATAAAGTTAGCTTAGTTTAGGTTTCCTCCTGTAGTAACCCTGGATCAATAAGAGATGATCCTTACTGGACCTCTAGGAAGAACAGTTTAGAACTGATAGAGCTATCAAGTATAAATAAAGTTAGTTTAGTTTAGGTTTCCTTCTGTAGTAACACTGGATCAATAAGAGATGATCCTTACTGGACCTCTAGGAAGAACAGTTTAGAACTGATAGAGCTATCCAGTATAAATAAAGTTAGTTTACTTTAGTTTAGTTTTCCTCCTGTAGTAACACTGGATCAATCAGAGCTGATCCTTACTGGACCTCTAGGAAGAACAGTTTAGAACTGATAGAGCTATCTAGTATAAATAAAGTTAGTTTAGTTTAAGTTTCCTCCTATAGTAACACTGGATCAATAAGAGATGATCCTTACTGGACCTCTGGGAAGAACAGTTTAGAACTGATAGAACTATCCAGTATAAATAAAGTTTGTTTAGTTTAGGTCTCCTCCTGTAGTAACACTGGATGATCCTTGCGTAACCTTATTGTCAATAAGACGAGACCGTCTTTGGCCTTGGTGACACAGTATTCCAGAATCTTCCGGACCAAATATAGTTTTGAAACGGGCCAAAATTTAAAGCCGAAATTTCCGACAGATTTTTCTTCAAAACAACTTTAGGATGCGTTTTTATGCCAAAATTTCCGCTGAAAAGGAAATCTCCAGCCAACAAAGACAGTTATATTTAGACAGCATAATAATTTACGTCATAGACTTTGACTGACGGTTGTGTGGACACTGACAATAATTATACTAACCTTGTGTCTAAATACACCCATTGTATCCAAATCCAGGCAACAAACAGCAGAAGAAGCATTTCTGGGAAAGCGTAGATGAACCAATCAGCAAATCCAATACCACCACTGCCCGGAAATAGTCTGTCATAAAAAATACACGATATTAGGATCACTTTGGCGGAGAAATAGCTCTATCAGTTCTAAACTGTTCTTCCTAGAGGTCCAGTAAGGATAATCTCTTATTGATCCAGTGTTACCACATGAGGAAACCTAAGCTAAACTAACTTTATTTATACTGGATAGCTCTATCAGTTCTAAACTGTTCTTCGTAGAGATCCGGTAGAATCATCTCTTATTGATCCAGTGTTACTACAGGAGGAAACCTAAACTAAACTAACTTTATTTATACTGGATAGCTCTATCAGTTCTAAACTGTTCTTCCTAGAGGTCCAGTAAGGATCATCTCTTATTGATCCAGTGTTACTACAGGAGGAAAACTAAATTAAACTAACTTTATTTATACTGAATAACTCTATCAGTTCTAACTGTTCTTCTAGGAGGTCCAGTAAGGATCATCTCTTATTGATCCAATGTTATGACAGGAGGAAAACTAAATTAAACTAACTTTATTTATACTGAATAACTCTATCAGTTCTAACTGTTCTTCTAGGAGGTCCAGTAAGGATCATTGATCCATTTTTACTCCATGAGGAAGCCTTGACGAAACTAACTTTATTTAGCTAACAATCTAACAATCTTGTTTTTGAGTTATCATTTTGAGATATCCAATACACAAAACTTACTCTTCTGACTGGCCACTTAATATTAAATTCGGTCCAGTCCCCGTGAGTGTGCCTGTGCCACCAATATTTGCAGCATATGCTAGCTAAGAAACGTCCCCTTGCAAAGTTGTGTATGTTGGTCCAGTTTCTCCTCCTGTTAAAACAAAGAGTACATAATATAAGCGAGTGGCGTCACCAGCTTGATAAGTAGGGGGGGGGGGATATTCATATATTCGTTCCAATATAATCAAGGAGCAGCGTGGCAGCGTCTTCAAAAAACTTAGGCAGCGTCTTCAAACAACTCTGGCAGCGTCTTCAAACAACTTTGCCTAAATAGACAAAACACTTCTCGACGTTTCGACTGCTGGCGTTGTCGACAAGCATGTGGGAGATGTTTTTATCATGTTTTGTTGCAAACATTCGAGCTTTAAGATGAAAATTTGTTGCATTTGTAACCTACCTTGTTGATTTCGACCCTAGAAAATGAAAAGAAAAACTTTTGATTACTGATGAGATTAATACAAGTTTCACCTGCATGTACAAATTGCTAGTTTCGCGGGGCCAAGTTTTCCTCAGCTCACAGCATTTCAAAACTAAATTTTGCATCTTTATTCATTTAACCATGCTCTTATTAGCTGCTATATTGGACTCTATTGTATGCAAACTAAATTTTGCATCTTTATTCATTTAAACATGCTCTTATTAGCTGTTATACAGGGTGTCTCAAAAAAAACGCAACCACTTAATATTCTAAAATTCATATTGTTCATAAGCTCAATAGATTTTATGCCCCTGGGATTTTAAAATGGCTTCTAATCGTACAGTTCAACTGCTAATAGTCAAATCAGCCAAACTAATAATGGTGCAGCTAAAAACCGAACAACGAGTTTTTATTGTCATGCATGATAACTTGAATGCTAACTGTCGACCTTGTAAAATAAATTGTAAATAAAATTTTACTCGTTAAATACTTTCAATTCAGCTCGTTGGTTTACGCACCCGACTTTGTTTACCGACGATTGTGCCGCTAGAATATGATTACAAGCTTTCTCGCATTCCAGGGGCCAAACGTCTCTTTTGTTGTAGAACAAAGAGGATATTCATGAATATTAAGTGGTTGCGTTTTTTTTGATACACCCTGTACAGGGTGAGTAAAAAAAAACGGACACCTTTGAAATTCAAATTAGCTGCGAACTTATGGCTGCAATATGACAATTCCCATGTACAATCAACAAAAACGATTTGATAAGACCGTTCTTTTGTATTTACAGAGCTTAGAATGCATTTTAACTCCCAATGGGAACAAACTTTATGTTTTAGGTTAATTAATATGATATGCTTCGTATACCTATGAAATATTTTAAACAACTTCTGTCACATTACAGCCGCTATGCGACTAATTTGAATTTCAAAGTGTCCGTTTTTTTTTACTCACCCTGTATTGGAATCTATTGTAGCAAACTATTGTATGCAAACTAAATTTTGCATCTTTATTCATCTAAAAATGCTCTTTTTAGCCGGTATATTCGAATCTATTTTCTATTCTTCCGACCAAATTGGTGTTCATTAATGGAAGAATTCATTCCAAAAAAAGGGATTCGTGTCGAATTTTAGCAACCTTTTGGACGAGACACAATATATTTCTCTTGCTAGTTTGTTTTGATTCCAAATTCAGTATTACAATTGAACGATGCAGTATCATAAAGATTTTTTACCTTACAATGCCTTCATCAGACTTGTTTATATCGCTTTCCAAGGAGTCTATCTTCTCTTCTTTATGATTGGTTACACAACCGTTCTCTTCGTTGTGATTGGCTTCAAGA